CAAGGCCGATGACTCCCAGGAGGCCAAGGTGACTTCTCCTAACCCAGCCCCTTCCTTCCATGGCCCCCAGCTTTCCCCCAAGACTTGGAGTGAAGAGGCTGTCTCCTCTCACCCTCATTGCAGGCCAGGTGACCGCCCTCTTGCTTCTTTTCTCCCTCCTGTAGGGGAATAAATGTAGCCACTTTTTCCAGTTAAAAAACATCTCTTTCTGTGGATATCATCCAAAGAACAACAAGTAAGTGGGGGTGGGATGGCAGTGGAGGAGGCACGGGTGGTCTGCAGCCTTCAGGTGGTTGGGTGTGGGCCGAGCCCCTGTCCCAGCACAGACAGACCTGTCCCTGCAGGTACTTTGGGTTCATCACCAAGCACCCCGCCGACCACCGGTTTGCCTGCCATGTCTTTGTGTCTGAAGACTCCACCAAAGTCCTGGCAGAGTCCGTGGGGTACGTGTGCATCCTGCTGAGCACCCAGCCCGAGGGAGCGCACCTCATCCCAGGCCCTAGCGCTGCTTTCTGGCGCTCAGCTTTGCCCCTTGGTTTCCCCCGCAGCTCTGGAGAACCATCTCCAGACCCCAGTGCAGTGGCCTGGAGGGAGGGTGGCAGGGCAGGGCGAGCCTGAGGAGTGGCTTCCAGGCTTGGTAGCTGCTGAGCCACGTCTTCAGCTGACATCTTACTGGGAAATGCAATGGCAGTTCTGTAGAGCACAGAGCCAAGTGGCCCCGGCCAGAGGAACCAGAGCCGCATTCAGGCCCCAAGGCTCCGGTGGGAAAACCCTGGGTCGGGATCCCATTCCTCCCTTGCCAGTGGCGGTCTGAGCCATCTCTGTGTCCCCTGGCTTCTAGGAGAGCATTCCAGCAGTTCTACAAGCAGTTTGTGGAGTACACCTGCCCCACAGAAGATATCTACCTGGAGTAGCCGTGCAGCCCCGCCCTCTGCGTCCCCCGGCCCTCAGGCCAGTGCCAGGACAGCTGGCTGCTGACAGGATGTGGCACTGCTTGAGGAGGGTCACCTGCTACCACCAGGGGATGAGGAAGTGGGGGCTGCTGGCCCAGGGTAGGGGAGGGTGGGGCAATGGGGAGAGGCAAATGCGGTTTATTGTAATATATGGGATTAGATTCATCTATGGAGGGCAGAGTGGGCTGCCTGGGGATTGGGAGGGGCAGGGCTTGGGGGGCAGGCCTCTGGCAGAGAAGGATGTCCGTTGCCAGGAGCCACACGGGCCCTGCCCCATCCGGGCCTTACCATTCCCTTGCCAGCGCGCTCGGGGGCGCTTCTGGCTCCTGGCCTATGATGAAGCCCGTGCTCACTGCCTTGTGGATGAGGCCCTTATTTGTTCTTGATGCCCCACCTGCAAGTGGCCCACCCTGCCCCCCTTGGCCCCAACACCCACCGAAGAGCGTGAGCTCAGGCTGAGGCCCAGGCCACCTCCCAAGGACGTTTCCAGTGAGGAAATGGCAACAGGTGGAGGCTGAAGACCCCGTTCTTCAGCTCCGTCATTTAGCCGGGGACTTTGGGGTGGGGCTCTTGCCACTGGACCTCACGGCATGCTGGCCTGGCTGGCAGGCCTAGGAATAAAAAACCGGACCTTCAGGTTGGGGACGGAGCGAGCTGCCGCAAAGGCCCCTGTCCCAGCCAGGAGGGGGGAGCTTCCTGGGACTGACACAGGGCCAGGGCCCCCCTCTATTTGGTCCTGGTCACCGCTGGCCCCAAACTATTTAAAGTGCCATTTCCTGGGGTCTGCCGACTGCAGTGAAGATTGTATGCTCTTATGGACCCCTCCTGGGCTTCCCCATCTCACTCCCAGGCCCAGGGAAAGCCAAGCCTTTGTCAGTGCTTGTGTATCTTTATGGGGGGCTTTGGGGTCACTAGGGTGGTGCGTCGGTTCTTTAGTAATACTCAGGGCAAGGTCGGCCATCCGGCTTGCCAGGGGGGGGGGCGGGGCGGAGCTTGCTGGGCCCGGGACAGGGAGGCGGTCCGAGGCCCTCGCGGCCCACGGGTTGCTTGGGGGAGGATGCCATTAGTCGTAGGAGGGGGAGAAAGCGAGGGCATGGGTGGGGAAGGGGCAGCCGGGCACCCTTGAACAGATGTGGGTTTTGGGATGACAACCCCCGAAGGGCTGGACTTGGGGCACCCCTATGTTTAGGGAGTTCTCCATGTCGCAGGCGACGGGCCCAGGGGGGAAGGGGCAACGGAAGAGGAGTACTACCATCCACCAGGCCGGAGGATGGGACTGCGGGAGAGTTCCAGGGGTGCGGAAATGCCCTCAGGAACAGGTACTGCTGAGGACCTGTGGGAAGAGGTTTGGGGTGCTCGGCCCCTGGGCCAGCAAAGCCACCGGCCACCTCCTTGTGAGATGGGGGGGATGGCCCAGTGTGGGGCGCACTTGGGCAAGCCCTCCAACCCAGTTACCAAGGGCCAGCAGCGCCCCACTCCATGGAGGGAGGGGAGGGCAGCACCTCTGCCGTCACCGGAGTGCCCTGTCCCCCCGTGCCCCGGAGTCAACCTAGAGGCTGGAGTGAAGCAGTGCCACTGCCAGGATGAGGTGGAGGAAGAGGCTGAGCCCAGCCCGGGGGTGCAGAGCCCCCAGCATGGCGAGAACCATCTCCTACACAGGTCCCAGCTCCTGTCGTCCCTCTCCTGGCAGGACGGAACCTGTTGCCAGTTCCCAGGGCCACCTCACAAAGGGCCTTCATTCCAGGCCTGCGTCAGCACCTGCAGGGCCAGCAACCTCCATCCTGAGGCTTTTGTTCTTATTGATGCTGTTGGCTAATAGGTGCCAAACCTGATCTTGTTCTAGTGTCGCTGCCCAGGGAATTGGCACACACTGTACAGTCAGATCTCAGCTGAGGTCCTGACCTTGCCTCTTGGTAGCCGGACAAGTCACTTCATCTCTGTGTGCCGGAGTTTCGTCATCTGTGATGTAGTCCGTAACACACCCTACAGACATAGGCCCTCCGAAGAGGGCAGGGGCTCCTCACCACCCAGAGCCCCAGCCATTCAAACAGCCTCCCCAACTCCCGCTAGCATAGCAGGAGGTACGGGCAGGTCCTGCCAGCTGAGGAGCCCAGAGTGGGTCTTTCAGTTCTGCCCGTCTCAGGGTCTACGTGAGAGGGAGTGTCCAGGCTCCCCATGTCCCCGGCTCAGGACCTTTCTCTCTCGGCTGCCTGCAGCTTAGAGCGGCCTGAGGCTAGATGGATGGCTTCCAGACGTGGTGGCAGAGCGCTGGACCTGCCCCTCAAATGCAGGCTTCAGGAGGGCAGGGAGAGCTTTGTTCATTGGAATCTGCAGCCCTGGACCCCTGGTAGGCGCCCAGTGAGCACGTGCAGCTCGGCCCTGCACTGGACATCCTCCCCTCGCAGGCCTGGGCTCAGCTGCAGGTGCCACCAGAAGGCCTCTGGCTGGCTCCTGGTTCTCCACTCAGCAGCCAGGCTCAGTCCACTTATACCTGCAGTGCGAACCTGGCTCACCAGAACCACAGCAAGCCTTCCAAACAAAATTCCTGGCCCCACCCAGATCTGTAGTATCAGAACCTGAGGGGTGAGCCCAGGGCTCTGGAGCTTTGGTAATCCAGTTGCTTGAGACGGCCAACCTGCTGGCTGGCCTAGCCGCTCTCCTCTGACGGCCGAGGGCCCCAGGGAGAGAAGTCCCTTGCTTCCAACCCTGGCTCCTCCAGTGGCCTCATTCATGCTCCTGGTCCTGAGAACCCAAGGCTGACAAGTTCTTGGGGTTCCTTCAGCCCAGTCACCCCCTGCATGTTGTCCCTGCACTCACTTCCCAGTGGCCACCTCCCTTTGTAAGTCCTGGAGACAACACGTCTCCACGAGCCTGCCTCAGCATCCTGTGCACACCAAGGCTCGCTCTGCCAGGAACCTGGAATTCTGTCCACTCTGCCTAACCCCAAAGTCCCTCGTCCTTTCTGCTCCTCGTCTCCTAGACACCATCTTCCTCCTCCACGCCAGTCCCCAACACTAGCTGGGGTTACCCCAATCTCCCTCTCTCTGCTGCCACTGCCATTGCCCCTCCCACTGCTACAGACCACTGCCTCCAATGTCACGGCCCCCATTCTTCCACCTCTGCCCGCCAAAGCATCCTCCACCAGACTGCTGGAATTTTTACAACACAGGCCCCTCCCTGCCTACCACAGACCAGGTCCAAGTTTCTTCCCTGGGTATGTGATGCTGTGTTCAGTTTGGCCCTGACCTTCCCCTCCAGCCTTCAGCTCCCACCTCCCAAGGCTACACACAGCGGTGACCCCGGGCACACAACCGCCCCTTGCAGGCTGCCTATCGAAAAACTGGACAGTTCTACCGGCTTCAAGCCTGCCTGAGTCAAGGCTTCGCTGATGGAGCCTGATGAAACCCTTCACCTCTGTCACCACTGCAGGCAGGCAGTCGCCACTACCGGGCCACCCCCAAGCTAGACCCCACTCTGGACATGCCACCTCCTCCCAAGCCCCCAGTGTGGCACCTGCATCCACGTGCCTGTCTCCTCTGTTGGTGAGAGGCGGAGGACAGGGGTCCGTGCTTCACTGCTGGTTTCTGATGGCCGGGCATGTGCCCAGAAACGCCTGTTCCACTAAGCTGGAGACCATGGGAGCCCAGGCAGCCCCTTCTCCTGCCTGTGGGTGAGGGCCTGGGGGGCGCTCCTCAGAGGGCCCTGAGGAAAGCAGCGTGTCTGGGAGGAGCTGAGGCATGGAGGACCCAGGTGCAGATGGAGCCCTCTCTGTGGGTTTGAAACTCTAGCAGGAGAGACTGGCTCTTCACAGGGCCAGTGGCTGAGGACAGGCTAAGGTCAGGGAGAAGAGCAGCCTGCAGCCCGCCCTGGCCAGGCCCTCCCCCATAGCAGCTTACATGGCTCCAAGTGGACCCGACCTCTGGAGCCTGTAGGGCGAGTGTGGGGAACCCCCGCTCATACCCCTTGAACTGGCCCTGGCTTCCTCCCCAAGCCCGTCCAGCTCCCACTCCCTCCCCAGTGCTGGCCGGTGCCGGACGCCCTTTTTCTAAGGAAGAAAAGCCTTTTACTCTCAACCAAGGAGGCAGGGCTTGAAGTGCCACTTGCGTGGGAGCCAGGCTCACTGTTCACCAGGCTCTGTCATAGGGAGGCTGACAACACCATGGCCTTGGGCTGCCAGAGCCACACGGCCCTGCAGAGCAGGGGCAGGCAGAGGGCCCTGGCCATAAGACACGCTGGGCAGCGTTCGGTCATCACCCAGGTTCAGCCTTCCTGCCCTCACCAGGGGCCAGCGAGAGAGCAGCAGTGTTCGCTCCTGTGGCTGCCGAGGCAAGCGGCTTCCCGGGCTCCATGAGGTGAAGTTACCGCTTTCGGTGGGAGAGGAGGCTGGATTCCACTCCTAGTGAAGGCTTCTTGGCCCAGCAGTGACAAGGTGCGGGTTGCAGTGGCATCGTCACAGGAGGGCGCAGTCAAGGGGGTCCCGGGAAGAACGCTGGTGGCGACCAGGGCTGTGTGCAGGGCCTGGCCGGTAGGCACGGAAAGGCCGCACGCTGGGACGCTGCTGGAGTCAGTTTTATTAGGGAAGGGGGCCCCCTGCCCCGCCCCTCCCCACACCCTCCTTCCGGGAGGTCTGTCAGCCCCAACTGTAGAAGTAGATTTTCTGCCAGGTGGGCAAGTAATCCATGAGCGGCCCTGCAGTGGGAGAGGGACACGTCAGGGCGGGCCAGACCCCAATCTGCGCTGTGGCACCACATACAGCACCTCACCCCTGCGGCCCAGGAGCCCGGCTGGCTCTCTTGCCCTGCCCCTAGGGAGGCGGCATTGCAGGGGACTCTGGCACCATTCACAGACAAGGACCCTCAGGCCCAGGGAAGCTCAGCCAGGGTAGGCACTGAGGGGCCTGAGTCAGGTCCAGTCACCCAGTGCAAGCCCAGTGGGCCTCTGCTGAGGGAGGATCTCAGCAGCCCGGTGGACTGCTTCTCCACCACTGAATCCCCCCACGATGAGATGGTCCCGTATTGCTCCAGGATACTGTGATCAGAAAAAGGCTGGCAGCTGATGTGGTCTAACAGTCACCCCACCACTGGACACCCTCCTTCCAGCCACCCCTGGCTCCTCAGGCCACCCTGGCTTTGGCCAGGGTAGTCCCACCCAATCCTGACTTCCCGACTTCCTCTCCTGACTGTGCCAAGAATCGAATTGCAAGGAGACACAGGAGTCAGGAAGATGGGGCATGCGTGCGCCTCCCAGCACTACAGTCATCACGTCCCCGCCCCAGCTTACTTGTGACCAGGCCAACGCCAGGGATGTGGTCGGCCAGCAACTGGAGCAGGAAGAGGATCCTGGCCCTGGCGGAGGCAATAAATGGGGAGCAAGTTGAGTTGGGGGGGGTCCCTGCAAACCAGGAGGCCCAGAGGCCTTCGCTTTTGAATGCAGCGCATTCCCAAAAACAAAGGTGACTTTTTTGGGAGCTAGGACAGAGCCCGGTACACACGGGCGAGACCTCTGGGGTTGGCTCTGGCCTCCGCGCCCTCCACCAGCTCAGCTTTGGGGTGGCCGCTGGCCCACAACACCTCCTCCCATTCCTCCTTCAACTTCCACCGACATCCAACACCAAAGGCCTCTGGAGGGTCATGTGTGGAGCAGCGGCCGGGCAGTATGGAGGCGGGTTCAGGGAAGACAACCCCACCCCGCCCTCGGGAAGCCCCCAATCTGGCAGAAGCGCTGGCCTGCATGGAAACCTCATAAGCCACCAACAAGAGCAGTCAGAACCCCGGGAGGGGACACAGTACTGAGGAGGGCACATTTTGGTTCAGGGGAAGGGCAAGGGCCAAGGCCCTGATTTTTAAGAGATGAGGGTTTTCCACAGGGGAACTCGGGTGAGATGAGGATGCTGATGACAATACATAGTGCTAGGTGCTTACTACGCCCCATGCACTGCCGTATGCGTTAGTCACTGAACCCCCGAAAGTGGGTGCTGTCATCATGCCCACCTTACAGGTGAGGAAATGCGGCACAGGGCATCAAATAACTTGCCCAAGGCCACACATCTGGAAGCCAGCCTGGCTCCTTATGTGTCTGTCTGAGCAGCAAGAAAAGAGGAAGGCTGGCCGGGCGCGGTGGCTCACGCCTGTAATCCCAGCACTTTGGGAGGCCGAGGCGGGCGGACCACCTGTGGTCGGGAGTTTGAGATCAGCCTGACCAACATGGAGAAACCCCATCTCTAATAAAAAATACAAAATTAGCCAGGCATGGTGGCGCGTGCCTGTAATCCCAGCTACTCGGGAAGCTGAGGCAGGAGAATTGCTTGAACCCGGGAGGCGGAGGTTGCGGTGAGCCGAGATCACGCTGCCAGCCTGGGCAACAAGAGTGAAACTCCATCCCAAAAAACAAAAGAGGAAGGCCGGCTGGGCGCAGTGGCTGTAATCCCAGCACTTTAGGAGGCCAAGGCGGGCCTTTGTTTCCCCAAAGGACAGGGAGCAGGGTCCAGAGAGATGCCAGGGTGCAGTCCGGAAGGAGCAGCCTTAAGGTTTTTTTTTGTTTTAAAAAAAGAGACGGTGTCTTGCTCTGTCACCCAGACTGGAGTGCACTCACACGATCTCGGCTCACTGCAACCTCCGCCTCCTGCGTTCGAGCAATTCTCCTGCCTCAGCCTCCTGAGTAACTGGGACTACAGGCACCTGCCACCACGCCTGGCTAATTTTTGTATTTTTAGTAAAGATGGGGTTTCACCATATTAGCCAGGATGGTCTCTATCTCCCGACCTCATGATCCGCCTGCCTCGGCCTCCCAAAGTGTTGGGATTACAGGCGTGAGGCATCATGCCTGGCTAAACTATGCCAGTTTTGTTGTTGTTTTCTGTTTTGTTTTTTTTGAGACAGGGACTTACTCTGTCACCCAGGCTAGAGTGCGATGGAGTGATCATAACTCACTGCAGCCTCAACCTCCTGGCCTGATCCTCATGCCTCAGCTTCCTGAATAGCTGGGACTTACAGGCACACACCACCATGTCTGGCTAATTTAATTTCTTTTTTTTTTTTGTAGAGATGGGTTGCCCAGGCTAGTCTCAAACTCCTGGCCTCAAGCAAACCTCCTGCCTTGGCCTCCCAAAGTGCTAGGATTAGAGGTGTGAGCCACTGCTGCCCAGCCTATGCCAGTTTTTATGCAGTTATTAGGTCCTAGACAAAGGGGGTCCCGGGAGCCTTGTCTGTCTCACAGTCCCAGCCACTGCACAGGGTTCCCCCATCAGACTGTGGCCTAACCTCACGCAGTCACAGTGGCATTGGTCCCAAGCTGCCCCCTGCTCTACCCAGCAGGCCTCTCTGAGGCTGGGAGCTCTGGAACCTCACAGGTGACTGAGTGGGGGCCGGGCCAGGCAGGGAAGGCCAGGGGAAACCATGGGTTTGGGATCTAGCTCTACCACTGGCCAGCTGGGTGTCTTTAAGTTGCCCAACCTCCTTGAACCTCCAGGTCCTCCTCTGAGAAGTGAGGATAAGCCAAACTATTTGGCAGGAAGAAGTGGAAATGAGCTAGAGGCCATGGGCGCTCACCCTGTTGCCATCCCTGAGGGCCACCTGGCAATGCCCTCAGCCCTGCCCTCAGTGCCTCTCCTGCCAACCAATGTTTAAGTTCCTATTCAAGTGGCCTGATGGCCCGGAGAGCTCTGCGGGCGGAATGGCTGGCATCGGTTGACTGCCACCCAGACAACACACAGTGGGTGCTTGGTGAAGCCGGGATGAGGCGTGGGGGAGGGAAGGCACCAGCAGGGACCGGAGCACCAGTGCCCGCCTGCCGGCCCTCTCCCTGGCTGAGGGTGGCCTGGGTGCTCACTCAGAGAAGCGGTCGTAGAACGGAGAGCGGAGCAGGTAGTACAGCAGCAGGATGGTCCGGCGCCGCAGCTCCCGCCGTTCCCTCCGGGTCAGGCCCCTTCTGTCACTCAGGAGGCTCAGGCTGGGAGGCAGGTAGGACATGGTCAGGGCCAGGGGCATGATCTAGGCCCACGGAAGGGGAGGAGCCATGGGCTGGGTGTCCAGAGGGGCAGCAGCAGGAGGAGCAGGGGCTGCTACTGCCCTGCCTGCGTGAGGCCGGGATTGTAGCAGAAAGCCCAGAGGAGAGTGGAGCCCCGGGCGGGCCCAGGCTCACCTGGTCACATCCACAACACCAGCCAAGAGCCAGGGTTTCCACGACCTCTGACCCCACAGCCCCAGGCTGAGCACTGACGGCCAAGGCGTCAAGGATGTCTCCAGCACAGGGACCTTGCTCGGCGCACCCCCAACTCAATCCCCAGCCCACAGTGCCAGCCCTATCCTGCCCCGCGCTAAGGATACAGTGCAGCAGCGGCCGGGCAATGTACAAAAACTCTGCGATGGTCTCCTGCAGCCCCAGGGGGGTGGGGGTCGCACTCAGCTCCTCGTGGTGCTGCTGCTGCCATCCCTCCCGCTGCTGGGGAGCTCCCCAGTGCCTGGAGTGCAGGGACGGCGCTAGAACACAAGGGCAGCAGATGAGCGAGCCAGGCCCAGGCTGGGGCAGGGGAAGGTGGCTGCTGACCAAAGCCAGTCCCTCAGGCCCAGGCAGACACAGCACCTAGGTGCCCAGGCCAGCCACATCCTCCACTTACTGTTCTGGAGGGTTCGCACCACCCGGTTTGACCGCTTCCCCACGTAGGACTGCTCATGGCTGCCATGGCTGTGGTCACCATCTAGCAGGGATAGACAGAGGGCCATACAGTCAGAGGGACATGCTTCCAGCGGAGCCTGCAAAGAACATGCATGCAGTGAATGCTCAGGGGCTAAGGGGAGAACGGATGAGCTTCTACTATGGCAACAGCTGAGTCAAGGGAACTACAACTGGGGTGGTGGCTCAGCACGAGACCTGTCCACAGAGGAAAGCACTCTGCAGCCCTCCCTGGCCTGGGGAAAGCTCAGCATAGCTGTGGCCAGAACCAGCCTCCTGGAACCCATGGACAAGCAAGGCAGGGAGGGCCCAGCCTGACCATATATCTGTGGGGACCACAGCACCAGAGGGGCTGTCTCCTCTCAATCCTTTGCCTTCAAAACAATCATGATGAGAGGCAATGAACTGCCCCCACTCAATGTCCAGAGAGTGAGGCCCAGAAGCTGACAGGATGGGCTCAAAGCCCTGAAGGGAGAGATGTGGCGGGTGCCCTGCCTTCTGCCTCTACAGGCTGTGACTCTGGACACAGAACCAGGCCCAGAGGCAAGGTTGGCAGCATCCCATCTATTCCCTCTTCCTGCAGGCCACAAAAATGAATGACTCTGGCCATGACAAGTACTGGGTTTGTGTTCTGATTTTGTCCCTAGCCGCATCACTGTCTTCTTCATCGAATACAGGGCAATGAGAACAGAGGTGGTGGGGTCAGGTGTGCTCCAAAAACAGATACTACTGTATTCATGCTGGTTGGATCTAAATCCTCAAGTTAGTCCCACAGCCCATTCCACTCTAGGGCTTGGGGAAGCAGCTCACCCGGGGGCTGTGCCTGGGTCTCTCTGTCCAGTGGAACGATGGGGGGTGAGGTCTGGAGGCCAGCCTACAGCCTGAACCAAGAGCAGCAGGAGCATCCCAGTACAGCCCTGGGTCGGGAGTATGTCAGGGCTGTGGGGAGGTGGCTAGCCGGCGGGAGGTCAGGGATGCTCTGCTGAGCACCATCTGTGGTAGTTGGCCTGAGTCACCCCGACCCAGGACCCCTCCACAATCCCAACCTACTTGGCCAGTTGGATGAGGGCGATGACAACCAGCGGCCCACCTTCCCCCACACCTGGCAGCCCGATCTCCATTGAACAGACACCTCCACGCACTCCAGCACGCTCAGCCATGTCAGCAGCTTCTGCTGGGACAGCGACTGCAAGAACCCCAGGCCAAGAAGTCAGGGGGGCTGCCTGTAGTGCCAGGCCTTCTCCTAGGAGGGAGCTTTTCTGACAAGAGATGTGGACCTGCCCCTTTCCAGACTAACTGTGCAGGTGTGAGTTCAAACCCAACTCCACCACTAACAGGCTTGGG